GATTAGACGGCTATATGAGGGTGGTTTTATATCTGGGTTCTCAGTTCTGTTCCATTGGTCTATGTCTCTGTTCTTGTACCAGTACCATGCTATTTTAGTTACTATAACCTTGTAGTATAGCTTGAAGTGTGGTAAATTGATGCCTCCCAATTTGTTCTTTCTGCTTAAGATTGCTTTTGCTATACAGGGTCTTCTCTGGTTCCATACGTAAGCATGGAATTATTTTTTCTAGATCTGCAAAAAATGATGTTGGTATTTTAATAGGGATTGCATTTAATCTATAGATCACTTTGGGTAGTACAGACTTTTTAACAGCGTGGATGCTACCAACCCATGAGCATGGTATGGTTTTCTACCTGTTCATGTCCTCTGCTATTTTCGTTTCTCAGTGTTTCATAGTTCTCCCTGTGGAGGTCTTTCACGTCCTTAGTTAAATATAATCCTAGGTATTTTATTTTCTTTCTTACCCTTCTATTGTGAAGGGTATTGAGTCTTTGATTTGGTTCTCAGTTTGACTTTTATTGGTGTATAGGAATGCTAACTGATTTGTGTACGTTGATTTTGTAACCTGAGACTTTGCTGAATTTGTTTATCAATTCCAGTATTCTCTTGGCAGAATCTTTGGAGTTTTCTTTAGATATAATATATCTTCAGCAAAGAGCAATAGTTTGACACCTTCTGCCCCCATTTGGATGCCCTTGATTTCCTTCTCTTGTCTAATTGCTCTGGCCAGGACTTCTAGCACTATTTTCAATAGAAGTAGTGACAGAAGGCAACTTTGGTTCCAGTTCTAAGTGAGAATGCTTTCAGTTTTTCCCTGTTCAGTATGATGTTGACTGTGGGTTTGTCGTGTACGGCTTTTATCATTTTCGGATAAGTCCCGTCTACACCTATTTTGTTAAGCATTCTTATGATAAAAGGGTGCTGAATTTTGTTGAATGCTTTTTCTGCGTCTATTGAGAGGATCATATGGTCTTTGTTTTTTCTTCTATTTATGTGGTGAATAACATTTATAGGTCTGCATATGTTGAACCATCCCTGCATTCTTTTCTATCCTAAAATAGCCATCAGCCAGCAAAGCTTCTTCCTCATCTGCCATCAGAACAGAAATGCCTTCTGTATTTCTACAGAGGCAGAAATGCCTCTGTAGCATATATTGCTTGGAGGGTAGAGGGGGATGTCAGAAATTAGATGAGTATGTCTTTCTTAACTGAAATACTATTAAGTAGAATAATTCCAGTCACAAGCCATTGAAATATGCCATTGTTTGTTGTAGCATGTTTTGATAAAAATAAACAATTTTGAATTCCAAAGATGAAAACTTGTTTATAATGATGAATGTTCTAAATATGAATCTCTAAACCAAAACTTTAATACGTGTGATTTCCATTGCTATTAACCAGTTGAGCATCCCACATGTGAAAATCTGAAATCCAAAACACTCCAAAATCTGAAGTGTTTTGAGTGCTGACATCATGCTCAAAGGAAATTCTCACTGGAGCATTTCAGATTTCGGATTTTTGGATTTGGGATGCTGAACTCATAAGTATATAATGTGAATATTCAAAAATACAAAAAAATTCGAAACACTTCTCGTCCCAAGCATTTCAGATAAGGGATACTCAACCTTTGTTTATTATATTCATTCTTTCAGGAAATATTTGCGTGCTTAATCTATGCTAAGTTGTAGTGACAACAATTAAATAAGACAGAACTTGCACCCAAATTCATAATCTAGTATTAAAGACATACAGTTAATGGTTTAAATAGAAATGTGCCTAGGTTCCAGGAATGCATACAGGAATGGTGCCCAAATGCTTAAATTGATCAGATGTGGCCTCTTGGAGAGCTAAATCTCAGTGAATACGCTTTCTCCAGACAGTGAGAGAACATTCCAAGCATAGGGGAAAAAACATATATACAGGTACGGCTTGAGAAGTAGTTCAGTATAGCCAGATCATAGATTTCATGAGGGCAAATCAAAATAATGAGACCAAAATGCTAGAATAGTAATATGATGCTTACTTTGTGCTTACTGTCCTTAAACATCTTATATTTTAACTTATTAAATTCTCAAAACAATGCTGTGAGGTATAGTTACTGTCATCATCCTCGTTTTTATTGTCTATTTGGAAAAATAAAGCCTAACCTATTATTTCACTCATGAACTATCCTTAGACTTATTCATTTTACATCTTTGTTTCCTTTTTCTATAGCTAGCTC